ATATTGTGCCCTTGTGGGAGGAAACATTGTCTCCTAGAGAAGTAAGAAACAAAGTGTTGTCTCCCGGTCTAGTGCTGAAGCAGAATACAGGTCCATGGCTAACGGAGTGGCTGAAATCCTATGGCTAAGATCTCTACTTGAGGAGTTGGGTGTTGAGTATGAGAAGCCTCTGATGCTGTATTGTGATAATCAAGCAACCATTAATATAGCACATTATCCAGTGCAGCATGACAGAACCAAACACATTGAAGTTGACCGACATTTTGTACGAGAGAGGGTCTCATCTCAAGAAATATGCCTCCTTTACATCACATCTAGTATGCAACTAGCAGACATCCTCACTAAAGCTGTATCAAGAAAGAAGCTAGAAGCGGATCTATCCAAGTTGGGAATGATAAACATTTACTCCCAACTTGAGGGGGAGTGTAGAGAAACCGGTGTGGGCCCCACAGCTGTGGAGCCACTCTGTCCGTAGGGTAGAATGTATCTTGTCTATTTGTTATGTTATTCTGTTATTTACTTTTCAGTTTTATGATGTAAACATCAAGGGCAGATATGTCCTTTCATGTAACTAGCATAACATATAAATATTAAATTGAAGTGGCGGCGGCAGATTATTGAGAATCTGTCCTTCCATTTCAAACCTGTGTTCTACTGCTCTCTCACTACTCTTTCTTCTTCTTCTTCACTTTCTCCTGTTCGAACCTAAATTTTCTTAGTGCTCAAGACTGATAGCAGTCTTGAACATCTTCACCTTTCAATTTTCAGTTTATTTGCATTAATAGATAGAAAGTTATTGTGTCTCTTGATGCACAAGACAAGGAGTGACATTTTTGTAATTAGGGTGAACAGTATTCCGGGCCACACAAGTCACTCTATAAATAGATTTATTCTCTTCCCTTTGAAGCTAATGAATGAATGAAGATTTCTTTGGAGCAAGTTTGCTGTATGGAGTGATTCCTACAAACCCTAGAGTGATTCTAGGACCCCTTGGAGTGATTCCTTGGGGTTTCTCTCTCTTTTCTCTTTCTCTCTCACTCTCTCTCTTTCTGTCTTCTGATAGTTTGTTCCAGCCCTACTACATTAAGCTTTCCATGTGACTCTTCTTGGTGGTGTCAAAGACCAAGAAAATAATTTGCCCACAACTTTTGGCCACACATCCTCCACCTGGATACTTTTGTTGTGAAAAATTCTAGAGTTCCTTTCCTGCCTTATCAACCACCAAACAATTCCTAGGATCATTTACCAAACAGCCTTCCTCTTTTGCTCAAACCTTGAATGTACCCCCTCCTTACAGAAACTTTCCACCGACTCTGGACAACATCCCTTAAGGGCAAACAAGCTATGAACCTTCACCCAGATTTTATAAGAGAACTCACAGTGTAATAACATGTGGTCAATGGATTCATCCACCCTATTACAGAGGACACACACTGGTGAGTCAATTGCCACAGCTCTCTTCTTTAGATTATCTTTACTCTGAATCTTCTTCAGGAAAGCCAACCAGATGAGGAATGCAATTTTCAAATGGATAGGTTTGTACCAGATTAGATTCATAGGGAAATCTTGATCTTCCTCCTTAGTTAACCTGTTATAAAAGGAACTCATTGGGAACTGCTTATTCTTCCCATCCAGCCACACTCTTTTATACTCTAGTATAGTCAATACGGGTATTGTAAAGCTTCTGCAACAACCGGGCATAATGATCAAACTCCCAATCATTTAAAGCTCTTCTGAGGAGGGGATTCCAAATACAGTTGCCATTGGAGATCTGCATATCAATGTTTGAAAACGTGGAGGCATGACACGAGGCGTTCCACTACCTAGAGGCGTGAGGCGTAGTTCAGAACATAAGAGGTGTAAGCCTCCTTAAGAGGAGGGGGATAAGGAGGAAGAAGAGGGAGGATCTCATTTTTCTTTATTTTTATATGAGTTGTGCATGAGGTGCATGAGGCATACGCCTCTAGCATGCCTCATGAAAAAAGCATACGAGGTGTATGCCTCTTGCACCTGAGGTGTATGCCTCCCATGCCTTTTAAAACACTGCTGTATATACTTGGCCACTTTTGCTTCCTTATCCACTACTAATGCAAACAACTCGGGAAATTAATCTTTCAGAATGCTCTACCTTCACACCAGCAATCCTTCCAAAACTTAACTTTGGTTCCTTTCCCCACCTCCAAGCTGATTTCCTTACTGAAAAAACTGTAGCTTCTCTCTCCCTTTCCAAACTGAACATCCATAAGATTGACTTGCTTTACCTGGATCCCAACCCCCACTTAGATTATATTTTGCTTTTATGACTCTTTTCCACAAGCTGTTTTCTTGTTGGCTGAATCTCCAAATCCACTTATTGAGGAGGACAATGTTCAGATTTCTCGATCTTCTAATTCCTAATCCTGCATTTTTCTTATGCTTGCATACCTTTCCCCAATTTACTAGATGAACTTTCTTATCCTCCTTCCATCCCTTCCATAAGAATTCCCTCATTTTCTTTTCAATGGAGGCTGCCAGCCCAGCTGGAATTGGGTACATGGACAATAGGTAAATCAGAATAGAAGACAGCACACTCTTAATTAATGTAAGTTTACCTCCTTTTGATAAGTATTTGGACTTCCATGATGCCAATTTCTTATGCACCCTTTCTACTATAGGCCCCCAAATAGATTTTACACTGCGTTTTGCCCCTAGAGCCTAGAGGGATGCCCAAATATCTGATAGGCAGTTTTCCCACCTTAAAACCCCAACATTCAACCCATCCTTGCAGATCCCCCACCTCTCCTACAGCCACTTCACTTTTATGAATATTTAGGTGCAGCCCTGAGACTGCTTCAAACCACCATAAGGTTGCCATTAAGTACTTCAATTGCTCATTAGAAGCATCACCAAAAAATAACATTGAATCATCAGCAAACTGAGGTAGAGTAATTTCTAACCTTTCCTCCCCTACTGTAAAACCCTTCAAAAAACCACCTCTAACTGCTCTCAGAACCAACTGACCCACTGCTTCCATCACATATAAAAATAACAAAGTGATATTAACTATTTTAACAAAAAGAGTTGAATGTAATTCTCTGGACCAAGAGAACAAAAGGGTTGGATGATAATTTATATTCTGATTCGAAAATTAGGATCATCTTTTGTCCCGAATTTCATTCCTAATTGACTTGCTGCATTTAGTACTTGAGATCCTGGCAGTTTTATATGGTGCCTTGACCCACCAGAATTAATTAATGCTAAAATTTTATATATGGGCACATTGACTCAATGTGTCTGTGTGTGTGTTTGTTTTTTCGTTCCGTGGAAAAGCCCATTGTTCCAATTTCAAAATAGTGACACCCGAAAACTAGTTAAACTTCAGGCACTGTTTCACCAACATTACTGGTGAGTTGCAATGTTTCCAATGTAATGATTTACCTTTTTTAGCAAACCTGGAACTGAACTTTTCTCAGCCTTAGCTATTGCAATTCAATTTTGGAACTAAACCCTGGAGAAATGAAAATTCCTACCATTAAGGGAAAAAAGAGCATATTGTTTTTTCCTCTTTGCTAGGTAAAGCATGATGCATAGGGGAAGAAAGTAAAAATTGTAAATTTATTACAAGAGAATGACAATAAAATTCTAGAAGAACTTCTACATTGACCTGAAATCCCCATAATCTTGGTATTTGAAAATCTCACCTACTCCAGACTTGGAAAGATCAATTTCTATGCATTCATTTCCTAGTTCTTACAAAGGAACTAAAAATTTGTACTCAAGATAATCTGCTATTTTGTTTCTACACATACCCAAAGTGATGGTCACAATCAACTGCCACTCCATTCATCAGGAAAAGAAAAAAAATCAACTGCCACTCCATTGGCTTTCTGGGTACTTCAAAGCCATGATGTTTATGATTCAAGAAAGGATTGCAGCCACCAATTCCAGCATTATTACCATAATCACTTCTTATGGCATTGCTTATTCACCTTTGACAAGAAAGGACTGTATTTATGTGATAACTCTTTAACAGATCTTAAACCAATGGAAAGAGCAAGACTTCTTCCAAATTGGGATCAGCTGATCAGCCAAATTAGAATCTTCTGTTGAAGTAATTGGAGCATATATTGTTTTTGCAACCTCATATTTGTTATTGTGCTTTTGGCATCTGATGGTTTCACAGCCATCCATTCAAAACCATTGCCATTTAACCAATCAATGATCTGATCCTCTAGACATCCTGCTTCAATGCTTAGTTGGTGATACTGAAAAGATAACCATGTCATACAAAAACCTGTTTTGTAAGAATGAAATACATCCTGTGTCAAGAAAAGAGATCATCAAAATAGATAAAAAGGGCTTCTGGATGGATGATTGATGCACTCCTGAGTGACAACCTTCTTTTGTTCATTTTCTGGGGGCTATTAAAAGTTACTTTGTATTTATTAAATGCTCAAGAAATTCAGTGGCAGATCTACATGGTTGTATAATTGAAACAAGCATATTTCTTTATGTAGAATGTGCACTAAATGGTACTTGCTTTGCTGGTCTTTTACCACTTTCTTTATTAATTTTTTGCTGATTTCCATCCTCTCATTCTCATGTTACCTTCATTTTGAAGGATGGGAAATACCAAGAAGCACTTGGGAAGTGGGAAGCTGCCATTATGTTGATGCCTGAAAGGGCAGTTTTACATGAACAAAAGGCACAAGTTCTACTTGAGATGGGAGATGCTTGGAATGCTTTAAAGGCAGCAACTCGTGCGCCCCTAGTTCTTTCTCCAGATTAAAGATAGTCTCTCAAAAATAATTGAACTCTCATTATGAATGGCATTGTTTTTTCTACAAGTTATTTCATTTTTCTTACAGTTTGTCCTTACATATTGTTTTCTGATTTTATTTTGCAAGTATTTTCTTGTTTTGCATGAGCACCTAGAAAATCTTTAGATTTTTTTTTAAATACCAAACAGTGAGCAACTATTCATTCTTTTAAATTTTTATTAAGATATTCATTGATGCCACATTGCAGGAGCTACTGAATTGGAACCCTCATGGGCTGAGGTTCGTTAATATCATTGATCTTTTAATGCATTTGTAGCTCTAAAGCTTGAAATTCCTAGTTCAAATTTCTACATTTTTTTCTTAATATTTTTCTAGTATTTTTGTTTTCCCCCTATTCACTTTTAACTAAGGCAATCTGTTTTTCTGTTTCTTTAAAACTTGGAACATTTAAGCTTGGAACTAGCCAATATATGTTGCCTATATGAGTGCATAACTATGCAGGCTTTCGTCAATTGTATGTGGACATTAAATTTGTTCTCTTGGAAGAAATCAATAGAAGAGAAGGGAAGAGAGGAAGAAGAAAAGAGAGAAGAGAGATTATTGATCAAAAAAAAAAAGAGAGAGAAGAGAGAAGAGATGAGAGGAAGAGAGAAACAAAAGTTTGGAGTCAAAAAGTCAGGCTGGTGAGTGGTGGCACAAGCTCATCTATTTATATTAGGGTGGCCCAACTAATAAAATAAAAAAGTACAAAGACAAAAAAGCCCCTGTAGCTTTGAGTACATGTATTGTTAACACTTCTCCTCAAGTTGGGACATAGATGCCAATCATGCCCAACTTGTCACACAAGTCACTATGACGTGGGTGATTTAGGCCCTTTATGAAGATATCTACAACTACAAGTTCTTCAGAACTAACACAAGGGGTGCATACTTCACCACTTACAAGCTTCTCCTTGATAAAGTGTTTGTCCGCTTCAATGTGTTTAGTCCTATTATGAAGGACTGGGTTGGCTACAATATTGATAGCAACCTTGTTGTCACAATACAATGACATAGGACTATCAATTACAAATCTYGATTCATTCAACAAGTTCTTTATCCACAATATTTCAACAACTCCATGAGACATAGCTTTGTATCCTACTTCTACATTGGACCTAGCCACCACACTTTGTTTCTTACTTTTCCGTGTGACAAGATTTTCTCCCACAAAGGAGCAATATCCACTAGTGGATGTTTTATCATCTATTGACCCAACCCAATCAACATTTGTATACATTTCCACATTTAAATGCCCATGTTTCTAAAATAACAAACCAGCCCCTGGATACTTCTTGAGATACTTGAGAATTCTCTTAGTAGCTTCCATGTGGGTAGCCTTAGGGGGCATGGATGAACTAACTAAGAACACCCACAACATATGCAATGATGGGTTTAGCTATAGACAAATACAAGAGTCGTCCCACAAGCCTCTGAAACTGTTTCACATCCTTTATAGTTTCTCCATGATAGTTACCCAGCCTATGACTATAATCAATGGGAGAATCAACTGGCTTTACTCCCAATTTACTTGTGTCCCACAAATAGGTCTAGGATGTATTATTTCCTTTGAGAAATGAAGATTCCTTTTTGTAAGCAGGCAACTTCAATTCCAAGGAAATACCTCAAGAAAATCTTTTACCTCAAACTAAGTGGCTAAAAAACTTCTTCATCTTTTGAATTTCACTTGTCCAATCTCCAGTGACTAAACAATGTATGGATAGATCGACACTACTTAAAATTGATCCGCTGCACATCTAGATGAAACCTACTAAACCAAGCCCTTGGTAATTGTTTTAGGCCATGTAAGGATTTCTTTAGTTTGCACACTTTCTTCTCACTACCTTTAGCAACTAGGAGGTTGAACCAGTGAAGATTGATGATACCAAACTAGTGAAAGGTTCTAGTCAAAATTGGCTACCAATGAGAGAACTCTAATGGAGTTCATCTTGGCAACCAGGGCAAATGTCTCTACATAATCCACTTCATACACCTTTCCGCCGTGCCACCAACCTTGAGTTGCACTGTAAATACCCATTTGCAGCCTATTGGTTCTTTTCCTTTAGGAAGGTATACCAACTCCCATATACCATTTTTATGTAAAGCACTTATTTCTTCCTTAAATGCATTTGTTCATTTAGTTACTGACAAGGCCTCTGCCACATTCTTAGAGATAGGAACACTGTCAACGGAAGAAAGAAAGGCATGAAAAGAAGATGAGATATTCTCATAGGAAACAAAATGCGAAATGGGATACTTGGTGGTGCAAGACCTAACACCTTTTCTTTTAGCAATAGGAATGTCAAGATCATCGACAATAGAAATATCTATATTAATGGGATTAGACATATCAATAGGGATAATGGCACTTGGTTGGGAAGGATCTACCCCTGGAGATTCTGATGATGTTAGAAGTATAACTCCAAGTTACTCTACTGCTTTCAAACTCAGTTGGCCCTTCCATTGGTGAAGAAACACAAAAAATGAAGGATCAGGAAGAGGAGGAAAGTTGAACTTGAACATGTTTCTTCTCAACCCCGAGGAGAAACAAAAGAAAATGGATCACTCKCAAAGGACAACATCCATAGATACATAGTGTTTCCTAGAGACAGAATCAAAACACCAATAACCCTTTGAGAATAAGGGTAATACAAGAAAACACAAGGAATGGCACGAGGGTTGGATTTACCATGAGAGGGGCATAGGTTGTGAACAAAACAACGACAACCAAACACATGCATAGAAATAGAGAACAAGGGAGCCTTGGACAACCGAGATGGCATACAATTAGTGAAATATGCAACAGATAAAACAACATCCATGTAGAAACGTTTGGGAACATTCATATGAAGTAACAACCCATAAGCAACTTCAAGGAGATGGTGGTGTTTTTTTTTTTTTTCTTTTTTCTGCAATGCCATTTTGTTGGGGTGTTTTAGCACAAGAAGTCAAGAACTACAATGCTATTGGGCTAGAAGAACTACTGTATTACACAAGAAGGTCACAATGGAAATACTCTTTGGCATTATCAGGCTAGAAGATTTGAATGAGTCTAGAATTAGGTCAATATCATACATTAGAAGTCTTTCAAAAATTTTGGAACTCCACCTCTTGACCACATTGGATACACCCACACATATCTGAAATGAAATGATAATCAATAAGCATGATAAAGTATTTATAGCTAGTCTCAAAAGGTAAACTAACAAGGCCCTAAATATCAAAATGAGCAATATGAAAAGGAAATTCAGCTTTATTGTTTCTTAAAGGAAAGAGGATTTCTACAATGTTTACTCAATTGACAAGTTTGACATTTCAATTCAAACATGGACACTAACTTAAACAGTTATGAAAACAAAATTTTCAATGACTCAGAAGACAAATGACCGAGACGACAATGCCATAAATAGACTTAACTTGTATTGGATTGGAGTGTCTAAGAAGTAAGAACCACCAACACCTCCATTGAATGCACCAACATCATTAGCACCATAATCAACATCTTCATCCTCGTCATTATCACTGTCATAATCATCATCATGATGATCTTCAACATCAATATCTTCTTCTTCATCTTGAACAACACTTTTGCCATTATCTTGTCTTCCAGACTCACCTCTCCCACGACCACCTCTACCTCTACCTCTACTTGGACCCCTAGGTCCCCCACTTGCATTTCCAAGTCCATGTCACTTTCTCCTAGGCCTATTTGACCCTTCAAGGATTTCAGATACCCCTAAGGCTTCATCAACTTGAGTCCATGTAAGATCACACCCTTCATAGACCAAGTCATTTGAGGGGTCTTTCCTAGTCAACCACTCACTAGTTTCATTTACATCATCAAAGCAAATAGGGTCAAATTGCTTTGGATGTGCACGCCTTGTTGTAAATCTTTCTCGGAGGCATTGGCTGTATTGAACAAATACAAGATCATTGAGCCTCTTTTGATCAAGCCTATTCCTCTTTCTCGGAGGCATTGTTTGTATTGAACAAATACAAAATCATTGAATCTACATTCACAACAAAATAAGAAAAAATTATAAAAATAAGTATCTTAACTTTCATAAATAATTTTATCACAAAACCAACCATTAAATCCATTACTTAGAATACATGCTCAAAAGTGCTCCAGTTGCACTCACAAGCAAAAGAAGTGCATGTAAGACCTAATATGCGTAATGCAATGCGATACGCCTAAGGTCTGGGGTACAAAATAAAAAAATGAATTAAAACAATATAAATTTAAAATAACAGGAATAAAATATTAATATAAGTTTCAAGAAAAGAGAGCTTATATTACTTGGTTGCTTTGTTTCATGTTGCCTAATTGCCAATTCTTTAGAGAAAGCACCACGAGCATGCTTATACTCTTCCAACTAATGAGAGATCTTGTCTTGAATTTCAATATCACTGACCATTCTCTCAATGCAATCTAGAAAGCCCATTTCAAACTTTCCAATTGATGCTTCATCTTGTGCTTTAGCCTTTATAATGAAGGGTTGGATTGAGAAAAAAACCAGCAAGGTGCAATGGATGTTGCATCATATTAGTCCAACACCTATAAAAAATGTCTAAAATGGGCTTATACTCCCTTTCTTTCCCACTAAAATTTTCTTTTATTTTCTCTCTTGCTCGCTCCATTGCATAGTAAAAATAACCCATTGTAGGTTTCTCATCACCATCAACCAATAGTAAAACCTCCACAACCGGTTGAGCAGCCAAAAGAGCAACTCTTACATTTTTCCAAAACCCAACAGAAAGCACAGTGCTTGATGTTCTTAATCCATCTAATTTGTTAGCCCGTTTACTCTTGTTCCACACGTCACCAACAAATAWAGCACGCAAGGGCTCCTTGAAAGTATACAAACTTTGTAAAGTTAGAAAAGAGGTAGAAAACCTTGTAACTGCACATCGTACAAGATCTCTTCCATTTGTTTTTTCCCTCACACGTGCAAGAAGAAGATGCCTATAAATAAAAGCAGTCACTTGTCTTGCCCTAGCAATACAACTTTTTGTAGACCTCAATTCTCAATGTCTTCCAACATAAGGTCTAGACAATGAGCAGCACAAGGAGTTCAAAAAAATTCTTCCTCTTCAATCTTAAAAGATCACCGGCAGCAACATAAGCAGAGTGGTTATCAGTAACCACTTGCACCACATGTTCAACTTTACCAATCAACTCAAACAGAAAAGTTGCATTATGGACTTCATTTGATGCATCAACTGATTTTAGAAAAAAAA